ATTTGAAATCAAGATGAAAAAAGAAAAGTAGAAATTAAAGTTTTCTAAAATTGCTTATTTGAAAAATTATATATTTTTTAAAAAGTCTTCTTTATTTGAAAAGCTACTTTAGTTTTTAATTTTAAAAATAATTTTTTTTTCGCACTACACGATTATCATTATATTAAATTAATTTTTTTAAAAATAATTTAAATATATTTAATTTTTTCAATTTTTTAAAAATTAATATGATAATTATTAATAATAAATATTTTATTATATTAAATAAGATTAAAATTATAAATAAATAAAAATATATTAAAATTTAAAATAATAATGCATAATAAAAAAACCACCTTGATGTGATAAAAAAATTAATATCTACGAACATTTTTGTGTGATTATACTCTTTGATACGTTGCATTTAATAATACTTCTAAAACTGTTATCGTTTTAAAAGTTAATATTCACAAATTATAAAATATTTAGCCTAAATCCTTTCATTTAAGTAAAAATAATGTTTAAGGTAACCTGAATCAAATACTCGTTTAATGTATTTCATGTTTTGTGAACTTGATTTTGCATGTAGACATAGAAATATTTAGTAACTTAGTACAATCAAAAGGAGCAGAGGCAGCAAAAAGAGTGGACTAGGAGAGGGGGAAAACAAAGGAGATTGAACATTTGAATGGGAAGAGGATCATGTTCATGGGCCATGCCCAAAACCATTTTCAAAGAAATTGCACCACATAAAGTGGTGGGGCCCAAACTCAGCTATTGAATTGTAATGGACTTACTGATCATAATTCATACCCATATTCGTACTCTGCTTTTGGGAAACAGAACCATTAGGTACGACATCGTATCACACAGCTTAGGCCATTTTCTATAATCCCAAAAAAACAACTCTTTTTTTGGGAGAAATAGAATGAAAAAAACAAAAATTTAAAGTACTTTTAACTGTTTTTAAAAAGTAAATCAAACATAGAATTTCCAATTGAGTTAGGCCTTTTACTACTTAGATTTTATTTTAAAAGTCAATTTTTACAAATTGAAATTTGATTTTGTATAACAATTAATAGGTATTTTTTAAATGACGTAAAATTAAAAAATATTTGTTTGTGTCTTTTTTTTCAAGGGTGAGTAGGAATTGAGGGAGGGAATAGGATTGTAGTTTCTTAAAGTATGTTTGATTTCTGTTTTTAAAATTTAATTCTAATACAAATTTATATTAAAAATCATTTTATTCTCTAAGTTTACCACTAAATTATCAATTAAAGGACTAATTGTAATGTAATTTTTTAATAATAAAAAATAATATTATATATATATATATATATATATTCAAAATTTTGTACTTCAGTTGTAAAACTTTAAAAAAGATGATGATGAATGGTAACTAGAAAAGTATACTACAATTATCTGAAAGTTCTATCTAAAGTCATTTTAATTTGACATTTTTCGTCAATACATTCACTAAACATTAAACATTTATTAATGATTAGTTGCGTTGATTATGTTATTAATTAAATTTTTATTATTATGAATTAAGGACTTGAACTTTAACAAAAATATATTTGAAATATTAAAAACAAATATATCTCCTATGATATATGGACATAATTCATATTCATAATATAAACAGAAAACGTGACATAAACGGTTTGGGTGTGACTAGGGTATGTTTAAGTGGAAAGGATGACCAAACTAATAAATATTATTTCGATTGAGTTGATTAGTTTTACAAAATAAAAATAAAAATTCAAGTCAATATAAATTAAATCAATCTAATAAAATTCAAGTTGGTTTGAATGGATGCTTTAAAATATAAAAAATTGGATAACAATAATAATAATAATAATAATAATGCATTCCAACTTTTTTAAAGAATAATCTAGTGTGTGTTTAAAAATTCATTAAAGTTAAAGTAAATTATTTTTTAATCTGAAATTTATAATTTACAATATTAAAATATATTTATATTTTAGTATATTTCACAGCAATTCAAACACATCTTTCATCAAGAAAATAAACTTTTCAAGCCACAAATCTTTCCATTCTTAGCATGTCAAGCAATGAATCTTTCTATTTCTAACTAGTGTTGCTTTATGGTTACTAATATTGCATCAAATCCTTCATGCCCAATCCAATCCATATCTATGTTTAAAGCAAATATTTTATATTAATTAAAATAACAATTTTTAGGTTTTTTTTCAATTGATATTAAAGTCAATCTATTTAATATTTATTGAGACACTGTCAACATATTGGTGGCTTTGATTTATTTTAATATTTATAATATTAAATAATAAAATATACGTGTTTTCAATTAAAACTAATAAAAAACATTAATCAAATAATATCATATATAGGTAAAATAATTACTCTTAAGAAACAATGCATAACAATAAAATGATAAATGAAAAATATTTGCCTTTAATATTTATCGACATGTTAACTAATAATATTTATTTCTAAATAATAAATATATAAATAAATAATATTACTTCTAAAAGTCTTTTTGTATTAATAAATATTAGAAGCCTCAACATAACTTTAGTTAACTTATGCCTGAATCAACCCGAATCGTTTTCATTGTTTTTATAAGAAATATTTCAAAATTCAATTCTAAGTTATCACCAACACTTTCACAAAATAGTGAATAGGGAAACAAAAATAATGAGAAGTATGCTAACACAACATTTATAGGCTGAATAAAACGAGAAGAGTATATAATAAAAGAAAAAGTATGATCGAAGCAAGATGAGAAAACAGTTACCAACCCATTAACATAAGCACAACAACACAACACGATAGAAGTATGGCTATCAAACGATTCTACAATGGGATAATAGCCATAACCCTTTGCCACTGTGAAAGTAGGGCTTCTGTTTTGGGAATATCCAAATGTGAGATATCAAAACTTGAAGTTACTTAAGCTAATATATACGTCTTTTTAATTATCTAACATTCTATAATAAATTAGAAAAAAATATTATAATAAAATAAAAAATATAAGTTAGTAAATAAACTTGCTTATCAAATATTTTTATCTTAGTCAAATAACTAATCAAGTAAGTTATAAATTCATTAAAATATTTTACCAAATACTTATAATATAAATTTTAAATTAAATGATAAAATAATCTTTCTTGTATATATAAAAGCAAAAAGATTTTACTAATTTTACAATAGTGTCGACACATAAGAATTATCTGCTTATTATAAATAAAAAATTTCTAACCTGAGGATGCCACTGCTCCCCCATCTCCAGCTACGTTCGTCCCTGCTTGCCATGCTATATTCATAAAAGTAATCTTTGCCATATATCTAATTTTTGGGGTGTATGAAGTAAAAATAAATAAAATGGATACATGTAAAAAGAAAAGAAAAGAATAATTAAAAGTAAAAAGTATAATAAATATTATGATGTGATAAAAAAATGTATATATATATATATATATATATATATATATATATAATAACTGTATTCATAATTATATGAGATGTTAATTTATGAAAATGATTTGTGAACTGTGAAATGAAACGCTCGGAAGAGACACCGTGTAATAGAATTAACAAAAAGAGTAAAGAGTAAGAAAGTAGTGTAATAAAATTAAAAAAATATAACTATTAAAAAGTGATACATTACAAAAAAAAAAAATTATTTATAAATGTTTATGTTAATTGTTTTACTTTTTTGGGTCAGAAAGTAAAAGATAACAAGAAGGGAATTATAAAAAAAAAATAATTCTAATTATACCAACAATATTAACTAAAATGATGGAACTAAGCTCAGGAGAACAATTTTCTCATTAAATAAAGATACGATTAGAAGTGGTATTATATTTGTATTATAATTATTTTTATTTATTTTACAAAAAGTGTGGATAGAAAAGGTTTCAGTTATTAAAATTGAAACTTTTGATAGTATCAACCAGAAGAGCATGAGAACTTGGTTTTTGTATCCCATACGAGTAACCAAAGATAGCAATACTAGAAGTGGATTTATAAATAATATTAGTCTAATTGTTTTACTTAAATACGTCCGATATGTATGAAATAAATATTATTAATTACATTAATTTTAATTTTAAAATTTAATTTTCATTACACATTTTTTCCATAAAATCTTAGTTCAAAGGAAGTAGACATTGGTAAATTTATGGGACAAGTAATAGATGGGAGAATTGGCTAGCTTATGATGATGTGATGTTTCGATTATTAGTCTCTGCCAATTGCAAAATAACACATTTTTGTTACTCATACATGTTTTGATATAAAAACCGATGGAATCTAGCCTAGGTAGCTGAAAAAATGATCTTAGTCCCTCTAAACTTGATAAGATGCGTGGTGAGCTTCCTGGCCTTCACTTCCCCCTTGTTTTGGGCACAAAAATCAGAAGCATATGGCACGAGGTGAGCAGTAAGATGGAATATTTTATATATTTTTATTATTGAGATTGAAATAATGTCCTCAACCTCAAGTTGAGATCCTGTTGGTTAGCTAGCATGTCACCCTCCCCTCCCCCACTAATCTAGTGACTATTCAGGTTATTTAATGGGTCCCTCCCAGCACCCTCAAAACTTAAATAATTAAAATCTTACACTTTCTCCATGGTTATCATTCTTCTATATTAAAAGACCAAGAAAGTAAAGATATATTATTACAAGAAACTAATTAGATGCATAGATTTAAATATACAAAAAAATTGTAGAAATAGTATTGGATAGTTGAAAGAATAATCATCCCATACCTCAGCATTCCATCCTCCGACCACACACAGGTCAAATACCCTTATAAAACCCATATCATTCACAACCTTCTCGTCAGTTCTAGCACCAATCCTCACCCTTACCCTCTTCCTCTTCCCTTCATCCTTATCCCCTCTCTTCACTTCTCATTTTTCAACCATCATCGATCACCGCCTCTTCACACTTTCAATTGCCAATTATATATACCATAGTCCTAGCTAACTAGCTAGCTACCACATCATTTCCATTAAGTTACACAAAGTAGCAAGCATATATAAATAGCCCCTACACAAAGTAGTGCCAAAAAACGCATCATATAAATATATCAAATCTATATATCTCTTGTTGTAGTCTTAGACATGGGTAACACAGATTATGCATACCCTTCGGGTATGAACGTGCACCGTGTGGCCATTCCACCTCCACAATCCTTCTTGAAGTCTCTAAAGTACTCTTTGAAAGAAACGTTCTTCCCAGATGACCCATTGAGGAAGTTCAAGAACCAGCCAGCCTCTAAGAGGTTGTTGCTTGGACTTGAGTACTTCTTCCCAATCTTCGAGTGGGCACCACAATACACTCTTCATTTCTTCAAATCAGACCTCGTAGCTGGCATCACCATTGCTAGTTTGGCTATTCCTCAAGGCATCAGTTACGCAAAGCTAGCTAATCTGCCTCCCATTCTTGGACTTTGTGAGTAATTATACTTCCTACTTAATCATCATCAACTATAGCTAGCTAGCAAGTACTCAAATAATCATATACTATACTTAATTTGGTCAATCTATCATTTTCTTAATTTTTTGTCTTTCATAAAATCTTTAGTATACAAAGGTCACTTTCCATGTCACTTAAATTCCCACAAGACTGAAGATCTTACTTCAGATGTCAAATTAATTCCATATCACTCAAATTAACCACTTTTGTTAATTTATTTAATGAGTGTCATAAAATACATAATAAAAAGTTTATATATCGAATTTTTTTATGGAGAATTATAAAATATTATAATATTAAATAAAATAATTTTTTTACCAACATTTTACTGTGTGTTTTTTTACAAACATTAAAAAACTATTGATTTAATGACATTTTTATACGTTTTCTATATGGATTTTGATGTGATGAGAGAATACGTATGAAATGCAGATTCGAGCTTTATACCGCCATTGATTTATGCGATGATGGGGAGCTCAAGGGATTTGGCAGTGGGAACTGTGGCGGTTGGGTCGCTTCTCATGGCTTCCATGTTGGGTCGAGAGGTTAATTACAACGAGAACCCAAAGCTTTTTCTCCACTTGGCTTTCACAGCTACATTCTTTGCTGGAGTTTTGCAGGCATCACTCGGTCTATTTAGGTAGATATAATTAATTTATTCTACTTAGATATTGAGAATCTCATGAAATAACAATAATTATTAACATAATAGGTTTAATTCGCATGAGAAATTTATTAAAATGAAAACAAAACGAAAATCAACGGCATGTTCTTGTCAGTATCTTTTTTCCTTTAAAACATAATTTATATGTAGCGGAATCATATTATTCGAGAGGAAAATATTTTCGCAGTTCTGTAGTTCGCTATGGGCTGGAGTTTTTTGTCTTTTGGTTATTTGTCTCGTGAAACCATTTGTATTTTGCAATTATGAGAGTTCAATCCCCACCCCTTTTCGTATAGCATATAGATATTAATTACTATATAAATAAATTTAAATTCTGGAATCAGCTTGTGCAAAGCGACAGGACTTATTGGCTTTTGCTTTCAGTATCATATATCGTGGTATGCATTGGATGGAGCCTTTTTGTATCAATATTCAGTACTATAATATATAATATAGTATATACAAGTATGATTTATTCGCATCTCAATAAGCTTACATGTTTTTTTTACTATCTGTCTTCTTTTCTTATCATATATATATATTCTTTCTTATTTTTTGACTCTCTCCAATCTAATTTTCCTTTGAAATAAGATTATTTTAATTAATATGAGTTATTTACTTAATCATTAACAATATGGAAGTGCAGGTTAGGGTTTATCGTGGATTTTCTGTCACATGCAGCCATAGTAGGGTTCATGGGGGGAGCAGCCACAGTGGTTTGCCTGCAACAGCTAAAATCAATTCTAGGTCTTCAACATTTCACCCATGATGCAGATCTCGTGTCAGTAATGCGCTCTGTTTTTTCACAAACTCATGAGGTACGTAAAGTTGGGGTACTGATATTTTGACTGCCTGTATATAAATTTTTTCAGAATTCAGATTAAATTATTGGCGGATTTGTATGATGTAAATTGTCAATTTCTAAATAATTTTATAATTAACGATTTCTAAAATTTTGTTTTAATAGATAATATTTATAACGCCCGCTGTTTATGTGATATTCATTTGAGAGTTTGTTCACAAATTTTTAACTCTTTAATAACACGATATTTTATTTAAAAAATAGCCGTTCCTGTCAAAGTTAATATTAAATTACTTTTTTTTATAAAGTTTCAAATAAGTAATAAAACCAATTAAATGATTTATTTTTAGTATATTTTTAAAAAAATCTTAAATGATTGGAAACCTAAGCCAGTTGCCTCGTTTATCTTGAGGCAGTAACACCCTACACTTCATTAAAGAGCTTAATTTCGTTAAGAAAAATAAAATAAAATAAATAAATGTGATATAAAAAATAAAAATAATAAATATATGAAATTGAATGAAAAAAGTATAATATAAAAAAATATTATTCTTGTACAAATTGAAACACAACTCTACAGCTATAGTACTTGTCCTCTTCCTCCCCTCATCTCTGCTGTGTGATTTTTTTTATCCACTATAGTACAATACAACACATTCTTTCGACCTCAGACACCACTCACCATCATGCCCAACATACACAGCTCCAAAAATATTTATATATTCTGAAACGAAAAAAGGCATATTAATTATTATTTGCACATTACATTTTTACATTTTATAGTTTTTCATTTTTCATTTAACTAATGCCAAACGTAGTTCACTAGAATTTATACATAACGTTCTACAATCTTTCTACATGATTAATTAGTTTAATAAATAATCTATATCTTTCGTTGGGCAGAGTAGAATTCATCATTAACTGAATCAACAAGTTTAGAAATATTGTAAACCAACACGAAAACATGTCAACGAATGATTTTCTGATGAAATTAAAAAGAAAGAAACAATGTTGTCCTCTTGCTCTGTTGAATAGTGAATACTCATTGTTTGGTAGAATGAAGCATAATTTTGTTTTCTCATTTGTTAATGTATTGTAGTGGAGGTGGGAAAGCGCTGTGTTGGGTTGCTGCTTTATCTTCTTCCTTCTCGTCACAAGATACTTCGTAAGTGATACCTAACCCATTTATTATTCTAGATATATGCCATTTCCACGTTTCACATAATGTGTTGCACTTAATCCTTCACTTTCTTTAATTAATTTGTTTCTTTTTTATTCCCCAAAGTAAAGTTGTAACGCTAACAAAACAAAGAAAAAGAAACAGACCAAATCTTATTTTCATACCAAGAGCCATGACCTTAACTGTGAAGGATAAGATACTAATTATCCCATTACTTCACTTTGTTAATGCCCCATTTTTCTGAGGCTGGGATATTGAAAACAACTTATTCTTTTGATCTAACTCTATTTTCAAGCCTAACCTACTTTTCCTACTTGATCCCTTATTTGAAGTCGCCGAATTTTTCGGAGGCAATTGACATTACATCCTTCTTATTTTCTTCATGTTCCCAACTACAGCCACGACAAAGTAATTTACTATATTGTACTATTGACTTTGGTAAATCATACTTTTTTTTTATAATATATTATTAGTTATATAATATTACTATACCCTATTTAATTAAACTTGTTTTCATTCGATGAACTTGATGGAAAAGGACCTAATTGCCTTTCGGGTGCTATTCTTATAGGGTGTTTAATTATTGTTATTTTTTTCTAAAACCTACAATAATGATTTATTTAAAACTTTAAGACATGCTTGCTTGAATTTTTTTAAAAAGTGATTTTTAAATAACTTCTAAAAAGTTATTTTAACGTCTGGAAAGAGAAACTCTTATTGAAAAATATATCATATATATATATATATATATATATATATACATATATATATATAAAAGAATTAGACAACAAGTACTTTAAAATAAGATCATATTCATAAGTTTACCTATAAATATTGGGTTTTTCTTTCTTTGAAAAACTTAAATAAAGGTTAATCACTTTTAGAAATCTAAAACTCTTTCAAAACTTTCTTATAAGCAACATATTTCAGACTCAGAATTGGTTGTGGTTTATAATTTAAAAAATTCAAAGTGATTTTTTCATTAAAAATAATGTTTCGATGCATTAAAATAATTGAGAAATAGATTAATAAAATTTTCTTATAAAAAAATCTTTACTTTTATTTTTTGTAACCATTACTTTTAGGATATTGATTAAATCATTCAATATTTTTAATAAATCAAAATACTTATTTTATAAATTAATAATTTTTTAAAAGAGTAGGATAGTAGCATTGTTCTGTTATGTTGATGAAAATAAAAGTGATTGTAATTTGGGATTGTGATGGCAGAGCAAACGACGACCGAAGTTCTTCTGGGTGTCAGCAATGGCACCACTAATGTCCGTTATACTGGGAAGTCTTCTGGTTTATCTCACTCACGCCGAGAAGCACGGCGTTCAAGTGGTGAGTATTTCCAAGTTCCAAACACTCCTTTTCGTAACGCACTTTTTGTCGGTCAACTTTCTAAAGCTCTCGGGACTAATGCTCACAGCCAAACACGGCACTAGTGCTGCTAGCCTGCCTGATAAGAATAGGACATACACCAAGGCCCACATGTTTGAAGGCCTTTTGGGTTCTTGTCCTCAGCCCAATTTCAAATTATTGTCCTCCCCAGGCCCCACCAACACTGTGTGGGACCCTCTAATGCATTTATAATTGGGCCCATGCACTCTAAACCACGGCCCGTTTGCTGAATAGTGCTTTCTTGTTATGGAGTAATTGTGTATTAGGATTACTCTTATCATTCAAAGAATTTAATTTATTGAAACGTTGTTTCAGATAGGAGAATTGAAGAAGGGGTTAAATCCACCTTCGGTGATGGATTTGGTGTTTGTGTCGCCTTATATGGGTACAGCCATAAAAACTGGGCTTGTCACTGGCATTATTGCGCTTGCTGTAAGTACTTTTCAAATCTCATTTCCTTTGGTAGAGGTAAAGGGTAAGGTGTGACATGCCCCATCAACACACAAATCTCAACTCTAAACTATCACACCAATTAGCCAAAAGGAAAAAAACATTTTCTTGTTTAAAAAAGCAGGAAAATGATAGAGCTTGTAAAACAATAAAAAACTCTTCGTTTGATCTATGGTCCTCCTCCTTTCCTAATTTGGTGAAGTAAGAGATATTACAAGATTTTTTTTTATATTTGAGATGTAATTTTAAGAAATATGTGTGTGTATATATATAAATAAGTAAAAGTTAAAAGTAATAATATGAAACATTAATTTTTAATAATTTAAATAATGAAATTGTTGAAAAATTTGTTCCTAATATCTCACGTATTTAATGGTATTATGTTATATTTTTAATGGTATTGATTTACGTGTATATTTCGCCTTTGCAACTTAAAGTTTCTAAATTTGTCACTCTTTGTACCAATCCAGAGTCCTAATTTCTTGGAGCATGTCCCAAAGGTTTTTTAAACAAAAATATGGAGTTTATGATACTCTGTACACAAATTATAACAAATTTTTAGAACTTATTTTTTTCTACATCTTTTTGCGTCACATAATTTATCTTATCACTCATTTTTCTCTATTCTTTTCCTTTCTCTTAGTTCGGAAAAAAATTATAAGAAGTGTTATAGAAATAAGATTTCTCATAGAACAAATAATTATTTTCCACTCCATTTCATTCGTACTCGTGTCAACAATGTCATAGGACTGAATAGATGATTCTGTGCAGGAAGGAATAGCAGTGGGAAGAAGCTTTGCAATGTTTAAGAATTACCATATTGATGGCAATAAAGAGATGGTAGCTATTGGAACCATGAATATTTTCGGTTCGTTCACCTCTTGCTATCTCACCACAGGTAATTGTTTCATCAATAATCGTTAGTACAAAATACGTAGATTGTGGATATTTTACATATAAGTTTGGTGTATTACATCAATAAAATCCTCAATTATTTAACTGCAAGTTAATTTTCAGTCTTTACTCTTCACATAGAAAGCATAAACGCTTAAATTCAATATTATTTGAACTACGCCAATACATATTGTACATAAATTGACTTTTGTTTTTAAAATTACAAATGAAAGTGTTGCAATAAAATAAATTACAATATTTTATCATGTTTTCAATCATTCATGTTCATTTTTAAAACATGATTTTTTAATTTAAAATTTGTTGTACCTTTGTCTATGTATGTGTTGTTGTATAGTTATCTGTGTCCTATGTCATGTTCATGCTTTCTAACTCTTCAGTCAAAATTAAGATAAATTTGTTAAAACATTTTTCTGCATCAATAGCTAACAAATTTGGTATTAAAATTAATGTTGTTTCAGGACCATTTTCACGTTCAGCTGTGAACTACAATGCTGGGTGCAAGACTGCAGGATCAAACATTGTAATGTCAATTGCAGTAATGTTGACATTGTTATTCTTGACACCCCTTTTCCATTATACTCCCCTAGTGGTGCTATCAGCCATAATTGTATCTGCAATGCTTGGACTCATAGATTATCAAGCAGCCATTCATTTGTGGAAAATCGACAAATTTGATTTTTTGGTGTGCTTCAGTGCTTATATTGGTGTAGTCTTTGGCAGTGTTGAAATTGGCCTAGTCATAGCAGTATGTTTCATAATTATCCCACTATGCAGACTTTGAACTTATCCATTGTTGAGTTTTGATATAAAGGTTACGGAGATTAATGTGTTTTGTGTGAATATGCAGGTTGCTGTATCTCTACTTCGAGTACTTTTATTTATTGCTAGGCCAAGGACATTTCTTTTAGGCAACATTCCAAATTCTGCAGTATATAGAAATGTAGAGCAATATCCAAATGCAAATCATATTCCCGGAATCCTAATTCTTGAAATTGATGCACCAATTTACTTTACCAATGCAAGCTATTTAAGAGAGAGGTAAGCAATTAGTGGATTTGTAGTTATGCTCTTAATTCCATGCAAAAAATATCGGCCTCCAATAAAATTGGAATTTCATAAAAGAATATTGTTCATAGGATCACAAGGTGGATTGATGAAGAGGAAGACAGAATTAAAGCTACAGGGCAAACCAGTTTGCAGTATGTTATAATGGATATGACTGGTAAATTATTGATTCAAGAAAAATGAAGTAATTAACAATCTAGTAAGTAAGATTATTAGTCTAACTTGCAATATATTATTGGCAGCTGTTGGCAACATTGATACAAGCGGAATAAGCATGCTTGAGGAGTTAAAGAAGATTGTTGACAGAAGAGGGTTGCAAGTAATTATTTCTTTGTCGGGTTATCTAATAGATAAACTAAAATAAATCGGATTTCTATAAAAAAGTTAAAATGAAGTTATCCACCTCAACTTTTGAAAACGCTAAACAAGAGCTTCTAAAAATGGATGAGGCAGTAAATTAATTTAAACTTTTAAGAGGATTTTGATTTGTTTTTTGTTTAGAACACTATGTTTGATTTCTCTTTTAAAAAGAGTTTTCTGTTTTTTTCTGTTTTTTTAAACTCTTTTTAAATTGATCTTCTGTAATCATTCATTCCTATTTCTTTAGCTTGTTTTGGTCAATCCTGGAAGCGAGGTGATGAAGAAGTTGAACAAATCCAAGTTCCTTGATGAATTGGGGCAGAAATGGATTTATCTGACAGTTGAAGAGGCTGTTGGAGCATGCAACTTCATGCTCCATACGCACAAACCAAACCCCATGAAAGATGAATCAGAAGGTTGGAACAATGTCTGAGTCTCAGTAATGTAACAGAGATTGTTTAGATCTCATGAAGCTTACGAGTTTTCTTCTTAGCTAAGTCAACCTTACACTAGGTGGCATGAGAGTTTGAGAATCATGCTGCAAAGGATTTAGAGGCATAGGTGCATGAGTATTTTAATTTCTCCAAATGATGAGTTGGAAGAAAGTTCCCAACATATGTATTTTTATGTATCATGCTTAATCTATTCAATTGAAAACTGGCTGCAATAGATCTGAGAAGTGTTCCTTTGGAAATGTTCTAAAGCTTAGTAGGTAACATGAACATATATTATTGCCTCATTTTGGAACCGGACAAGTTCTTTTTAGTTTGCTGGAATAAAAAAGGAATAATACAAAGTATTTGAGAAGTAAGATCATCAACTAATATCAAGTCAGATATAGTTAGTGAATAAAGTCCTTTGAATATGCTGTTGATTAGTATCTATTCAAAACTTTGATCATGTCATTTTTTAAAGAGTATGAATTCGGAGCCTTATATCATCTTTTGCTTTTTGAAAAAAATCTTTTACGATCAACTCAAGTTGTTAAAAAACTTTTATAACTAAATTAACAATTACCAAAATATGATTCGTGTTTTACCTTGTAAAGAAGTTTAAAGTAGGAAAGTTTATCAGATTGAATTGACTCGATGAACTTGATAATTTTAACCATACCAATGTCGAATTGTACACAAATATTAATACAAAATAATTTTATGAAACACTTGCATCTTAACTTCTAGTTAGATATAAAACTTTTGTCTCGATTTCCTATTTTATTTTTCATTATATTGAGGCACGCCATTTGTACTTGAATTTGTATCAATTTTTTGGTGATATATAAAGTTATTGATTTAACCAAATCAATTAAATTAATTTAGTTAATCAAAAAATTTTATTTTAAACTCAAATAAAAATAATTATAATCAATTTAGTTTTAAATTTATTTTTAAAACTAAACAACCTAATCATCTGATTAACTTAAAAAAAACTGTTAACTTTATTTCAAAGTTTAGTATTTAGACATTTCTTCTATTTTTATCATTTTATTTCATTTAGAGCCTCTACAGTAAAAATCTCAGTAGTTAAATTTATATCCAATAATTATAAAAAATTATAATTAGTTAATCGCACATTTCACAATAGGTAATTTTTGGGCTGGAGAGTCAGCTCGGCCGCAGAGGATCCAGATTCTACGAAGTAATTAGATGTTGGTCTTTAGTGAATCAACTTCCCTTAAATAAACATATATTCACTATAAATAGAATCCCCAAGTTTTTCGAAGTGAGTTTATCAATACAAACAATTAATTTTTCTTCTTTAAAAACACTTGATGGTGCTAAAAGCTATGTCGACGGGTTATTTTGTCATAGTTTTAAAAATAATTTAACTGTTGGAAACATTTGTTTTGAAAATAAACAAAAGTTTTTAAAAAATTAAAAAAATAGAGCTGTTAAAAAATAACCACAACCACAGTACATATGATGCTGTTGGATGTTGAATTTCAGAATGGTCAGAATTTAGTTTGCAATGCGTTTGTTCCGTAGTTAATAGGGAATTTAGAGTATCCAAAAAATAAAAAAGTAGAAATGACACACATATACCTTCTCCAAATATGAAAGAGTTTTCTTTTGGGCAGATAGATTAGCCGAGTTCTCATTTTGGACTACTTTAGAATCCTAAAACAAAAAGAGCAAAGACAAAGATCGTGTGTTCCGAGTCACATTCAACTTCACTTCAGTCACTGTACTCTTCTTCTGTCTCTCGGCATTTTACTAGCGCCAGGTAAGCTAAGGTTATTCTTCTGTCACTGGGAAGAGTGAATTATTGGTTCTGTTATGCTCAATGGCACCCTTTCAGAAAAAATCAAAGAAAACCAAAAAGAAGACCAAAAAGTTCAAAAAACACAAACAGGTGAGTTTGGTCCCTGTTGAGCCCAGAACAAGTGAAACCGATTGGTGGGACTCTTTCTGGCACAAGAATTCTACTGCCCCAGGTTCTCATCATTCCATTTCCTTTCAAAGTTTCAAACTTTAATTAATTATCCATGATGTTGTTCTGCAAGGAAACCCTTTCATGCATGCGTTTCTTCTCTATTGTGTTTATCGCTTAATGAATTGCAACTATCCTGCTATTTATGTGTAATTGATAAAAGAAATGATGGGGTCAACTCAGGGATTTTCTACCCACACCCTATTCTTTAGGGCAATGATGTCTTCATAACTTATTTTGTTTTGGGTATGATTGGTTTGTTTTGAAAATTTTTGATTTGAATGGGTATGATATGCACCTGCAGGATATTCTGTACCTGGTGATGAGGCAGAAGGGTTTAAGTATTTCTTTAGGGTGTCAAAGACTACTTTTGAGTATATATGTTCTCTTGTGAGGGAGGATCTCATATCAAGGCCTCCATCAGGGCTCATCAACATAGAGGGAAGGCTGCTTAGTGTTGAGAAGCAGGTTGCCATTGCCCTAAGAAGGTTGGCATCTGGTGAGTCTCAAGTCTCAGTTGGAGCTGCCTTTGGGGTTGGCCAGTCAACAGTGTCTCAGGTGACTTGGAGATTCATAGAAGCGCTGGAGGAACGTGCTAAACATCATCTCAAGTGGCCTGATTTCGATAGAATGCGGGAAATCAAGCTTGGTTTTGAAGCATCCTATGGGTTGCCTAATTGCTGTGGAGCCATTGATGCAACGCACATCATGATGACCCTTCCGGCTGTCCAAACCTCGGATGATTGGTGCGATCAAGAAAAGAACTACAGCATGTTGTTACAGGGAATTGTTGATCATGAAATGAGGTTTATTGATATCATGACAGGTTTGCCTGGGGGCATGACATTTTCCAGACTGTTGAAGTGTTCAGCGTTGTTCAAACTCTCGGAGAATGGGGAGCGTTTAAATGGAAATGTAAAAACTTTAGGTGGAGATGTTGTAAGAGAATATGTAGTTGGTGGGTACAGTTATCCTCTTCTTCCATGGCTTATGACTCCTTATGAAAATAATGCCACATCAGTTTCGCAGTCTACTTTCAATCACAAACATGGAGCTGCAAGGCTCCTTGCTGTGAGGGCATTCTCACTGTTAAAGGGAAGTTGGAGAATCCTGAGTAAGGTTATGTGGAGACCTGATAAGAGGAAATTGCCCAGTATTATCTTGACATGTTGTCTGCTTCATAATATAATCATTGACTTCGGAGACATCTTACATCAAAATGTTGCCTTGTCTGGTCATCATGATTCTGGATATCAAGAACAGTCTTGCAAGCAAGTTGATCCTTCAGGGAGGACCATGCGAGAGAATTTGATCAAGCATTTACAACCGGATTGCAATTAGATGTTCAAGGCACTTCTGATGTCATCTCTCTACGTCTGATCTAGAATTTGACTTTTGGCCTCGGCATTTTGTTGTTAAACTTAGGAGTCTCAGTTTTTTTTTTCTTCTGTTTTTTTGGTTGAGGATTGGGATTTTATCGCCATTGTTTTTGTTGAATATTAATTTTTTATTATTGGAAGAAATGTTACTGAGCATTTAGCTTTTGGCTTGTAGGATAATTTCTCAATAAGCCATTATATGACAGAAATATGAGTCTTAATGTATTCAGTTATTGCTTTTTATGTTGAACAAACGATTCTTAAGACAAACAAAACAGGAAGATAATTGCATGGCACCACAATGGTAATCAAAGTAGTAGCTAAATAAGAACAGCACGTCTAACCAAGAAGGAAATAAGACGGAGGGGGTTAGTCAGAAAACGAAATGGTGAAAATTCCATCCTAGCTTCTTCTCCTGAGTGAACATTACACAACATGTACAGCAGGGTCTCTACGCTACAACCTTTCCATAGATAAACAGGTAGGGTCTTGAACCATTTCTAGACTAATAAAAAATTACAAACAAGAAAGCAAATGTCTCATGTAATCTTAAACTACGCTAAAAATCAGCCAAATTAATCTCCTTTAGTAGGAGGTTGCATGCATGCACAAAAGGGTGCTTTCTTCTTCCTCTTCTGGTGGTAGTTTCTTCTTGTCCCACCATAGAGATAATCTCTCAAAAGGACCCTTGGATTTCGATCATCAATCAATGCTTTTCCTTTGCTTTCTTTTTCATCATTCAACTTTAGAAGTAAAAATTGCAGTCTTTGCACCTCCAACTGCAGCCGTCCTATTTTTTCAGACCCTCTCCGAGCCTGTTCTGAAACTCTCCTTCTGCTTATGCTTCCACTCTCATCTGATTCTGTTGCAGACTTCCCAGCAAAGGATGAGGTACCCTCTTCTACATTCTTCTTCAACTTTCGGTTGGCATCAAACAACTTTGTGATGGATTCTTGGGCAGCTTCAAGCTGCTCTTTCACAGTATCATACTCAATACCTTTTCCCTTTGTGCTCTCCTCAGTAATTTCCATCTTGCTCATCAAATCTTGTACAGTAATTTCAAGGTTTGTCAACTTTTGAGCATCAGAATCAAGTCTTTCTAAAATCTTCCTCTTGTTGCCATCTTCATGTGGATGTCGATGTGGCTGTGTCAATCTTCTTGAGATCTCTAATTTGTCCACACTCAACTCCTTCTCAATCAAGGACTCTACTGAAGGATATTTGTTTTTGGGTTCCTTGGTCACTCTCTTTTGATGGTATCCAGTAGGTGCAGTGGCTGTCTTTGGTGCCTTGCCAACTGTCAGACCAATAGCGCCATCCTTGTTAGCAGTTTCCCACAATTCAAGCATCTGATCATCAGACTCAAGACTTCCTCTCCTATTCACCCCGTATGATGAACATTCAATCGTTTGATCAAGCATGATGTCTTTTGGCAGAACTTCAATTTCTGCTACAAGGATATCTGACACTGATTTTCTTGTCTTCTGTTCATCAGCAGGTCCACCTGGATTCTCCTTTGCTTCATCCATTTGAGTAAATTGCTTACTTGCTTGGATATTTCCTTGACGCCACCTGATTCCAGATTTTAACATTTGAATCTCTCTCATTTCATCCTTAGGTTTGAAACTTTCATTCATCTTTTTAACAACCATTTCAATTGTATTGATCCTGTTCTGCATGTCTTGGAAGTCCGGAAGAGCATCTGTTGTGGTAGCATTCTGATCTTCAACAGTTTGTTGATCATCTTCAGTGTAGTTCTGATTTGCCAAATCTTTAACCTGGAAACAAAGATTTGAATGAACAGATTACAGCTACATTAAAAAAAAATGCAATAGTAGCTGGTTTTCAGTTGAAGATAGCATGTTAATTACCTTAGATACTTTGAAGTCATGAGGTTTTGCTTGTACAAGCGTCTGCATCTCCAAGGATGTTATACAATCATTCAAAGCACTAACAGCTGGGACATAAGCAGCCAACTGACCATGTAGTCTCCCGTTTTCACCTTCCAACCTGTTAACCCTTTCTTTCAGCATTTCACTTTCCATGCCTTCAAAGTTGCTTCTGCGTTCGAGATTCTGACATGCATTAGCTAGCTCATGAACCTTCCCCTCAAATAATGTCTCATTGACAGCAGAAATCTGCAGTCTGGTATAGAGTGTGGCTGCCTTGGTTTCCCACTGTTCGATCTCATTTGTTCCCTTAAGTAGTTCATAACTAAGCTTCTCTTCCCTCAGTTTAGTTTCTCCAAGTTCTTGATGCAGGTGCCTCATTTTAGCCTCTAACTTCTGATTCACTTCACAAAGGCATCCAAGCTCTTCATTTTGACGATCCTTGTCTGAGGATAATTTTAAAATTTGACTAGCTTGGTCTTCAAGTATCTCCTTGGCCTCATCATACTTGCTCTTCAGATCTTCCACCAATCTTTGCAATTCTGTTTTCTCATCATTTAAAGCACTAAACATTTCTGCTGCTTCCAAAATCTCATTTTCCTTTTGAGACAACAATTCCTTTCCATTCATAATCTGACAATTTAATTGATCATTGACGGATTGAACTAATTTTAGTTCAATGTTTGACACTACAAATGACTCTTTAAGATATGAATTTTCCATTTGTGTATCTTCTAATTTGCCCATCATTATTTTTAATTTCTCCTCAAGGTTGTTATTTACTGAACAAAGTCTATCAAGATCTTTGCTTAGCACCTCAAGTGCCAGGAGTTTTTCAAAGACAATGTTCTGGTAGATCAGAGAAATATTAGATTGAGCTATTGTCTCATGAATCATGATGCAGATTTCTTCTTCCAACCTACTTTTCTCTTCACCCAGGTCCAGAAGTCTTCTCATCAAGGTATTTTTCTCTTCAATTGTTTTGCCACTATCTTCTTTTATGTTTACGTAATCCTCTTTCAAGTCTAACAGCTGTTTGCATAGATTCTCTATTTCAGTTGTCATCACTTCCATTTTCTCTTCTCCCTTGCTAATTGTCAACTTCAATTCCTGATTCTTCTCCAGAATCTTTTGTACCTTTACCTGCAATGCCAAGAACTGCTTAGACTGGGTCCTCAACTCCTTATCAAGGGCATTTCTTTCTGTCAAAAGATTTTCGGCCTTTAATCTCAACTGGCCAAGGAATGTAACAAGAACTGAATTCTCAATGGCCACTTGCTCGCTTTCATTGAAAATTGTGACAAAAGAATTCTGTGTCTCCTGAAGTTTGCCATGTATATGGTTCAGAAGCTCCTGGTCTTCTTCAATCAAATCTTCACACCAATGCTCACTGTTAATGTCAAGAGTCTTTAACACTTGAAGCAGCCCAATCCTTAGTACTTCAATTTTGTCAGACAATGAATTCACATCAACTTGCTTTTGAACATTGTCATTCTCCAATTTAGATATCAATTTATCAGACATTTTGGATGCCTCCAAGAGTCTCTGACACTCAACTAGAAGGGAGAAGTTCTTTTGCTCCAAATCCTGGATACATTTCTGCAAGATGAAGATTTCCATTTGAGCATGTACAGCTCTGTCCAGTTCCACTTCATATTCATTTTTCTGGTAATTTGCATCTTCTTGTAGAATATAAATTTGTAATTCCTTCTCAGCCAAGTGACTTTCACTCAATTGCACAATTCTGGAATGTTCTTCCCTCTCAGCATATAAGGAAACAAGGAGCTCTTCCAACTTTTGAAGTGCGGACACCCTTTCTGCTTTCAATTCCAGATGCTTCAGTTCCAAGTCACTGTGTTTCTCCTCAAGATCTTTCAGTGTTTTATGAGTGACGTTCAATTGTGAAACTAAGGTTTCTTTCTCAGACATGAGACTGGACTTCTCATGGTCAAGCAACAGACAAGAGTCTTCTAAAATCTTTGACTTTACCCTTAATCCTTCAAGCTCAGCATTCACATCAAACAGTGAACTTTCTAAAAGGTTGTTTTTTTCTGAGAGCTTTTCCAGCTTTTCAGCTGTGGCTTGTAACTGAGAAAACAAGGTGGCCTTCTCAGAAGCAAGAGAGGATTTCTCCCCAAGCAAAGCTTCACAAGTTTCTTCCAATACCTTTACCTTTCCACGGACACTTTCCAGTTCAGCATTTAAATCTGAGAGGGAATTCTCCAAAACAGCATTTTTTTCCAAAATATTCTCCATGATCTCCAGTTTTTCCTTTAAAGCTCCTTTCTCATCTTCGTCTGATTCACTTATTTCCTTTAGCTTTAAGTTTTCATCTTGCAATTTCTTCACAGATGAGGCAAAGCACAGTGGATCAAAGTCAGTTGATCTGACCTCCTCCATCATGGATTCATGTCTTCTATTCACATCATGAAGCTCCTCTTTAAGACAGTAAATTTCTTGCTGAAGAGCATTTCGTTCATCTACTCGCAATTCAACCTCCAGTTCAAGTTTCTTTATTGTCTCCCTCAAATTTAATATCTCATCCTGCAAATTTTTTATAGACAAAGATGAAGATAATTTGAGCTCATTTAGAGTTTTGCTTTCCTCCTTGGCCTTGTGTACTTCATCCTCTAAAACCTGCTTATGGGATTCCATTTTCTCCAAAATTTCAGCCTTATTGTGAAGCTTAGTGGCAAGAGACCTAAGCTCTTCCTGAGATTGAGAGTGCAAATTCTGAAGAGTTTGGAAAGCAGTTTCAGCCTCAATGAACCGCAACCGCTCCTCTTGTATGCAAGTCCAAAGTCTTCCCAATTCCTTCTGCTTCTCACTAAGTTCTTCACTTTGAGATCCCAATTTCTGTGCCAAAGACTGCAATTCGGATTGCAGAGTCTGATTAGATGTTTCCAAGATAAGACACTTCTGTTCAGAACTATGTAACTGTTCAACCCCATCATTTATCTTGCAATTTAGCTTATGCACCTCCTCTTTGGCACAAGAGAGTTTATACTCCAGACTGGAAATTATCTCCAAGCATTGCTGATAACGAAGAGCTGCATCTTCCTTCTCTTCAGTAAGTTTAGCAATTTCTAACTTCATGTCCTCAATTTCATTTTTTGCTATACTAGCTTGCTCATTAATTCTCCTTGCATTCTCTTCAGCTTGTACTAATCTTTCCTCTAGTTTTGACAACGTCTCTAAGGACTGTTTATATTGAACAAGGGCAGCTTCCTTTTCAGCTTCTACTCTAGCAAGGTCTCGCTTTAAGGATTCAGCTTCAGTTTCAGCCCTAGTAGCTCGTTCATTAAGTTCTCCTGCATCCTTCTGAGCAGAAGAAATACTTTTCTCCAGATCATATGTTTTCTCCAAGCACTGCTGGTACTGAAGAAGACTAGCTTCTCTTTCAGCCTGTAATTCAGTAAGAGCTTCCTTTAAGGTTTGAACTTCAGCTTCAGCTTTGTTTGCTCTTTCGTTAAGTCCTTCTGAATTCTCTCTTGCACGAGACATTTCCGATTCCAGATTAGACAATCTCTCCAAACTATTCTGATACTGAAGCAAGCCAGCTTCCTTTTCACTTTCTAACTTAGCAAGTGCTTTCTTTAAGGCCAAAATTTCTGTCTCTGCCTTGGTCATCCGTTCTGACTCAGATAAGACACGATCCCCAGTATCATGGCTTCCATTTTCTTGCCCATTAATCTCCTGTGTGTCAAGAAAATTGAGCCCCCTTCTAGCACGCCCTTCTGCAAACTTTGTATGACTTACAGGTTCTCCTGACATGAATAGATCATTTAGCTGTTTCAAACCCTTTCTGCTTGTAGTAGAATCAGCTTCATCAGTATAAGATGCATTTCGTTTAATGGCATGGAAATGAGTTGAATCATCCTTTTGCAATTCATCTGAATCAAGAAATGCACGAGAATGGTTAAGTGTCTCTGGTGTATGCAGCTCAGTATCCATGGAGGAAACTCCGGGTAAATCATCTGATGGTACCAGAGGGACTTGATTCGGAAATGCTTCAGCCATGGTACGATGTGCCTGGCGTATCACTCCAGTTGCATGATCATATCTCTCAGCCAATGCCCGGTATGCCCGGTAAAACTCTTCAACTAATTTCATGAGCTCTGGGCGCTTTTTATAGTACATTTCTGCCCTTCTTGCAAAGGAATCTGCATCTTCTTCAATAAGCTTGATCATTTGCTTCACCTTGGTATCCATATCTGTTCATGAAGAGGTACCATTGTGATAATTAGTGTTTGAGGATTCTAGATGGATGTTAACAGCAAAATTCAAATTTCAAAATGAATCATTGCCACATCTCTTTTGAATGATTAAGGAAATAGATGCTATAAGTAAAAGGTAAGATGTAATACAGGAAGTACATGTGTCTAATTATCATGCACAGACTACCATACAAAATTCTTGCCTGTAACATGTCCATACAAGACAGAACTGATAATAGTAATACAAAGAAAATAATTTTAATGAAGATATACACCAACAGAGAAGCTTCAGAAAGATAAAACAAAAATACATAACCATAGTTTTCATACATGCCCAAAGGGAATATATATTGACAATTAGAAATGGTTTATACCAGAACGTTTAGAGACTAGTCCAACAGCCTAAACGTTTAGCAACAAAATAATTTGAAAAATCAAATTTATAAGCTCTCATACCAATATGAATAAATTATCTATAATAGCAATCAAACAAGAGATCCAATTTGTTTTGGGTTTAACGTAAGCATTTTTCTGCTATATATGTGAAAACAAGAAATGGGTGTAATTTAGGTGATGAAGAACAACCATGTAAACTCATAAGAAGAGTTGCTTACAAAGCCAGAATTACCTGTCAGATTTTCTTGGAGCCATTTCGAATTCTTGGGGCTTATGTGACTGTCCCACCACCATGAATACATTCTTTTAGAATCAGCATGGGACAGAGCGGCCATCACTCCAGCCAAGTGAACTAAAACCAACACCGTGTCTTCTGATGTTGAAGGAACTTAATCAGTGAAAATTCAATGAAGAAAAACCAGAACCACCTTAACACAGTTACACAACAGATGTGAGGCCAAGTATCTCTTGCTGCTTGCATATAATCATCAGAAAAAACAAAAACAAAGGGAATGTAAACGTTTCAATTTCGGATAAATCACAGCCATGCCATTTTATCTCGTCAAAGTAAAAGTTAAGGAAAAAAAAAACAGCAACCCAAAAGAAAAACACAATTACCTGATCAATTAAACTCTCAAGTTCCAATAGTGAATGGACAAACTTGTGATACACCAGAATTAGTACTGATCAAACACAAAATTCTAATTAGAACACCAAAAAGCCACATAAATTTTTTTTCTCAGGATTTGGCTAGTAAACAAGAACATAAAATATGTGAATATTAAAAATTCAACAAAAAAGAGCATTGTTTACGATGATCACTTATGAACATGAGATGGGCAACCATATAATTCAAACTACATGATCCAGCAAGAAGGTTGCACTCATGAACAAGAGATCAAAGCTCACATAATTCAGCAACAATTTTACTCACCAAAAAATAAAATAAAATCAAACTTGAGCCATTCGGTTCCAATTAACACCAAAGGTGGTAAACAACTTCAGCTGCTTTTCCCTTTTTCTTTTTTAATTCCATTTTCTGAGTCACCCCATGTTTGTTAGATCTCTATGTTTTGCGGACAATGTGGTTTGTGTGTTTGTTTCTCTTTCTCTCTCTCTCTTGCTCGGCTTTGCTTTTTATGCTGTATATGTTGGTGGTACTGTCTCCTAGCATCTCAGAACTGTTAAAGTGGAAAAAGAAAACAAAATCATAACAAGTTGGCAGAGAAAAAAAATGAAACATGACTATAAAGAAAAACAAAATAAAAAATGGGTCAGTAAAATCAAATTACATTAGTGAATAATTTAGAATCTGATACATTTTTTGGTAATAATCTCATTCCATTATTGCTGACCTTAATTAGGAACATTGAAATTGAAAACAGGAGATTGTGGTAAAAGTAACCGCAATGGAAAGAAAAATATAATTTAGATTCTCAATATTGTCTTTTTATGTTTCTTCTTTACGTTACTGGAATTCTTGTCTAGCAAAATATTACTAATAAGAAAATTACTAATGAGTTTCTAATGACCAACAAAATAAAAAATAGAAAGTATTTAATGAAAATAAATTATTTGTTACATTAAATTATAAAAATTAATTTCAAAATAATTAAAACATAAAATAATCCATAAACCATGGCATTAAGCACTCATTATCAAACTCCTTATAAAAGTGTCAAACTTAGTTGCGTGTATTTTACGTGTAGAGGTATAATCGGTTTAGTTTAGCGTTTCAAAAAATTTCAAACATGTCACCGACTTTAGGGTCGATTTATTCCATGTAATAATAAGTATAGTTGCCGTTGCTGAATGGTGCTTCACGGGCTCAACAACTAAAAAAGTGAAAAAAAGTAACGCTATTATTGTGTGCCAAAAGCAACGGTTGTATTTGTACCAAGCACTACTCCTACGCTCCCCACCTTTAAAATTCATAAAAATACATAATTACCTGTTTTTGCTTACTTTTACTCATAAAATTATGCTTCTATTTTCATGGTCTTAAGAAGGGAATTCGAACTCTGCATTTTTATTACCAACTTTTTAATTTACCCTCTACAATATATATTGATCAATTATTATTTCATATCCAACAGGGAAAAAAAGTAGTTTGATCATGTTTACGGGATCTCTTTCAGTCAATTCATTTATTATGACAATTTTCTGCCTAATTTCAATATGTATCCTATTGTAGAAATTCGTAAAAATCACTAACAAAATATATAATCCATCATACATGCTAAATAAGCATACTACAGGCAAACAAACGTTGAAAAAAATACATGCACTCACAGACTTAACATGGAATAAAATAAAAGGTCAATTCTAGATATAGTAAATATTATGTATAATATAATTAAAATATTAGATAAATATTTTGACTGACTTTAAAAAAAAACAGAATAACCGTATCCTCATTTATTGATATAATAGATATTAGATTTGATTTGACATTTATAAATTAAGAATAACTAATCGTTATTATTAAGTATTAACAAAAATTTAGTTAAAAATTAAATTAAAATACTCCCTCCAGTCTTTTTTTATTAAAAATAAATTTAATTAAGTATTTTTGTGTCCTAATTATAAGAAATAAAAAATAAATTTAAGATGTATAAATTATTTATTTTATTTTATACTTTTTAATTATTAAATATAAATTTACAAGACATTAACTACATTAATTATTCTATTTAATATTACAAATATTTTTAAAATAAAATTTATATTTATAAAAAATGATTAATTTAACTATTTTTTTATTTTTTATAAAAAGGATCAGAGTAAGTATTATATATATATATATATATACTACATCAACAACACGAACACAATGGTAGAATGAAGGAGTGGGGGAGAGGCCAAGGACGGCGCAATCTTGCAACATCACTCGATTCCCTCGTGTCATCACGCGTCCACACGCTGCCCCAACAAATTCCTTTGTCGCATTAGGATAATCACACGAGTTTATCATGGGAGAAAATTAAATAGTATTAAATTTTTACTAAAATTATATCCGTATAGTAAATGTATATAATTATTTATACAATAAAATAAATAAAAATGTATAAATAAATATAAATAATTATATTTACCTTCTTCCAGGTTCATAATAATTATAAGTGGATGCTTTTATACAGAAATTACATTTAACCTTCTTACCTAATTGATAAACATTACACGTACATCACTCGTTGTTAATGGGATGTTTAGTCTTCTAAATATCACAAGTCAAACACATGACTATTGATTGTAGTTAAGATAAGATGTATATTATTTTTTTACGTAACATCCTTCTAAGTTCATCAAATTTTCAAACTCAATCACTACATACGTCAACAATCTTTCTTTTGCAACACCCAAACTTCTACAACACCTCTTTCATGATTATAGTTTATCACTAGCTAGGACCTATAATTAACACCAAGTTAGTACCCTTAACTAGATCAACCATACCATTCAAAAGCCATCGCTTGATCCCTAGGCTCCCCAACACTGTCAGCCGTGGAATGATGACCACCACTAAATCAACCAAATTTTCACATCTAAACTCTTTCAGCCTTTGTAGATAACAACTAAAGAAATCAAAGTCACATTAATCTAGCAAACTCCTTAACTAAACCCCAAATTACCACCAGCACAAACTTCTAAATCTAATGAAGCTTTAACCACAACCCACCTTGCCACCAGACAACCCCGAAATGTTACCTTTATACAATCTTGGGTGTCATTACAATTACAGCCAAGGTGCTGGAAAAGGAATATTTGTTTCTTGCCTTCTGAGGAACAATAAACCCATATCCAAAGCATTTACCGTAATACAAAGGAATTTTATTTTTTTGATAACATCAGTTTCAGGTTTGTCATTTTATATCCCAACTTTAGAAATATAATTGAAAAATAAGAAAGCTCCAAAATTCAATGGTGGGAGTATTGATTTTTTATGTTCGGTTGAGTAAAGAAGTTTTTCACATTAATAATAAAAAATTGAATAACATAAAAGTGATAATGACCCATAACTCAATAGCTTTAAAGTTATAAGTCGAATGTAATATTTAAATTTATATATATGATTTACCTATGACTTTTTGATAGGATATTTTTTTAATGTTTTAAGTTTTTTTATTTGTCTCAATAATCATATGTGATTTTAATGGTAGATTCATATGAAGGGATCTTTATTTTTCAATGTTTTTGACGATATAGAAGTTTGACAATGTATTTTATTTAATAATAGTATAAGTTGAAAAGAATGTTATAGAAATTAAGTGGTTATAGTACTCTTATATTACTATAAATATTTATGGTTAACAAGGCTTATACTAGAGAGTGGTTAAAAAAATAGAGAGAGTATATTTAATTAATGAAAGGGCTCATACTTAAGAGAGAGTTTTCTAAGATTAGGTATTAGTGAAGAAGTTCCATTTAAATATAAATGAAAAAGTTAAATAATATAAAAATGACATAAACCCACAGCTCAGCGACTTCAAGATTTTAGGTTGAATGCAATATTTAAGTTTATCTGTTTGATTTATTTGTTGTTCGTTGATGAAAGATTTTTTTTAATGCTTTAATTTCCTTTTGTATATCACAAAAGGTACATAGGAGCCAAGTAAGATCCAAAAAAAGTGATGATAAAAGAGTCATTTTATAATATGCATCAATTGATACTAAAAATTTTATGCTAAATGTATATATTGTTAACCTCAATGAAGATTAGCTTGTATATTTACTTTTTTTTTATCCTTTTATATTTTTATATTAAATCATATATATATATATATATATATATATATATATTAAAAGTATATTTAATGTTAACTTTAAGGAAGATTATTTTTGCATAACCTTTTTAGTAGAGAGGTGCAATAATGAGTAGTTTATCTATTTACATCTTATATAAGTAGGTTGTGTAGAATAGTACTATAGTGGATTAGGTGATTGACAAACAAACTTTACATAGATGACATTTATTACAAGGAAGTGTTGAATTATATATAACTATAGAAACTAATCTTTTTCTACAAAGAAATATTTAAAATAACACATAAGATGTGTAAATTAAAAAAAATCAATGAATGATTAAATTAAATCCAATGTTGATAACGGTTGAAATCATTCCTTTATAAGAGTATTGACTTAGTCATCAATCTTATTTTTGTTAGAAATATTAATTTGTTACAAGATTAATTCTTTATAGATCCTTCTTTCTTTCTTTCTTTTTATTAAAAGAGGCTAAAAAGCCCAAATAACAACAGAAACTTAAGGAACAATTCTGGGCAACCAAACACTTAGGACATCCATATTTAAAAATTGCCTAAGAGGAAGAAAAACCCTATCAAAATGAATAATCAAAAGGCCTTCCTTAATACCTATTTTAGTAAGCTTATCAGCACTCTAATTAAATTTTTTATAAATTTAATCAAATCTAATGAAAGTAATAC